GCTACAATGGTTGTCTGGTAGCTAATACCAAAAGCTGTTTTCCTTTTAGAACATGCATTCGGCGATGGGTCGGCTCCGCTGCTTTTAAATTCGTTGTTTCGATACAGTGGTAGTATCGCATCATCGGCGCAGTACCATCGGCATCTGGTGCCTACGTCGTCAGCGCTGACAGCGGACGTCAGTCCTACAGTCGCAACGGCAAATTGCTCGACGATAAGCAAAAGTTGGTTCATCTGAGCCACTGCATTCGTTTTTGTCTTGCGCTTTGCCATGAGAAGTGGTTTCTTTGATTGCAGTTGCCAAGGTTCACAGTCTTGCCGAGGTTGCGGCTCGTGTTGCTGCCAGATGTTTCTCATTCGTGATGCTGGAAGCCTCTTATCATGCGATCACTGCGGAAAAAAGACGGATGAGCATTCAGCAGAGTGCTGGAGACGAGAAGGCCATTTTGCTCGAAAATGCATTCGTGGAGCACGCTGCAATTCCGGACAAGTTCTTCCTGAGCATAGTGCGCTGGTGTTTTCCCGAAAGTGAAGAGGATGTTCGCCTGTACAGGTGCATTTTTTCAAAATTATGAACAATTTACTTTTTCATATGCGCGGCGAAAGCCCACATATCCCATCATACTATTTTCATATGTGCCGTTTTGCATCGTTTACAGAATTCACATTATGAATGAGTCTTGTCCGATAGCGTGCTCGTCCACCTGTTATTCCGTTCATATGGTTGTCTACACACTTTCATTCCACACGCTGTGCTTATTTGTCCCGACAGATTTTCCGACCTTGAAACTTTAGTCTTTTGACCTTTTTGGCAAATGAAACATAAGCTTTTTGCCATCCTGCGTTACTACAGTGGGCTCGATCCCTCTATCCCGTTGTTTATTTTGCGCTTCCCGGGTTGCGCTGTGGTGGTGGAATAGCTAATGAGGCAGCAGCGACCTGAAATTTTGAACTTCCGCTTCTTTTGCGCAAAAAAAATCAAGTGTTTTTGGGTTTGCTGCTGGCCTTAATGTTGTAGTGAGCCTCCACCTATTGTCTACTGAGCCGGGTTGAAGGAAGGCCTAGCCCAGCTCACATTCATGCTTTCCAGTATGCG